CTCCGACCTACGCGATACATGCTTCAAAGACACAGGAAAAGCAAAAAGCAAAATCTGACACTCCAGGACGTGTCGCCATATATAAGAAGCGACGTGGACATTTGACTGGGCATTCAACGACCGCCATTGAAGAGAAGCAAAACCATACGAAGTACAAGACAAAGACACCGCAAACACTGTGTGTGGAACGCGCCAAGCGCCACCCCATCAGCATATTTTACTCGACCAAAGGTATCATCACATCATCACGATCAAGAAGGTACAAACTGATGACATCCAACAAGACTATTGCAGACTTTTAGCCGCCCCAGCGATTCACCTAGGTATCAAGAACAAGCCCCCNGTGACGCCATGTATAAGAAGCGACGTGGACATTTGACCGGGCATTCAACGACCGCCATTGAAGAGAAGCAAAAACATACGAAGTACAAGACAAAGACACCGCAAACACTGTGTGTGGAACGCGCCAAGCGCCACCCCATCAGCATATTTTACTCGACCAAAGGTATCATCACATCATCATGATCAAGAAGGTACAAACTGATGACATCCAACAAGACTATTGCAGACTTTTAGCCGCCCCAGAGATTCACCTAGGTATCAAGAACAAGCCCCCCCCCCCAAAGCCGGCGCAGGCTCCCGCCGTCGGACAGACGCCAAAAAAGACCCCGCCACCAACCGCCTACTTCACCAAAAGGCAGGAGTAGATCACACAGAAAAAAGAAAAGAAAAGAAATCTCTGCCTTGTTGACCCGCAAGGCGACTACGCAACAACCGACATCCTGAGCAACATGCATCATACACCGTCACCGCGAAAGTCGCGCAGGTCCCCGTTGCGCGACGTGATACGCAGCCGGTGTATACAGCTCAATGCAGCTCCGACGCATCCAAAATACAGATACAAAGCGCAGAGGTGAGGTCGGGTGTCCAGGATGATACCATCCCGCGCGACAGGGCGTGGATGTCTTAACTGCATCAACCCCGTGGAGGACATGAGACAACCGAGCAGCGAAGCTGTGTCAGAGCCAACACATTAACTCCGCGCAAAGAAATACCAGCAGCAAAGTCGAGGTTGAAGTCTCCCCCCTTCGAAACCCACCCCAAAACTTGTCAGGCATACTTGGGAGGAGACAGAGGCTACCGGGTTTAGCGCAGACGAAAATCAGGGCGACATGTTGTTGAGGAAATCATCCAGGTGACTCTCGAGGGTCTGTGGGTGAGGCGCTCNTTCATGCGGTGAGCGAAGGCCTGCACCTTCCGCTCCGCGAGGCACTGTTTGGTCTCCACGTCCCCGGCGGGCTCCACCTGCTGGTTTTCCGCATCGCAGAGCATGTGCAGGACCAGCGGCACTGCGACCTGTTGGCGCCGATCGGGCAACAAGGGTGGGCGTATACAAGCAGGCTTTTAATTAAATAGAAAAGAGTGCCCCAATAAATCTGACTCTCGAGGGTCTGTGGGTGAGGCGCTTAAGGTACGTACCTTACGTCTACGGGGGACGCGAACTGGAGAAGCAGTTCACCAGGAAGGTGAGAAACCGGGAAGCGTTTCTAGTACCACCCGCTTTGGGTTCGTTAAGTCCGAAATGTAGCGCTAACTGGTTCGGACTTAACGAACCTAAAGCGGGTGGTACTAGAAACGCTTCCCGGTTTCTCACCTTCCTGGTGAACTGCTTCTCCAGTTCGCGTCCCCCGTAGACGTGGAACGCCTTGAGGTTACCCTTGCCGGTGGCCCGCCGAGCGGCAGAAACCGGGAAGTCCAGCACGGAGTCCTGGAAGTCCTGCACCACCTGCGGGTGCGTTGGCAGAAGCAACAAAACAGCGTTGGAGTGGTATGACAACCGTGGCTAGATTCGCAAGAAGAGATGCACGTCCGTGTCTATCCCTGTTTGGCTTTCTATGCAAGAGGACAGTCTGGTGGTCCTTGGGCACTTACTCTCTTGCGAGGGTATGACGATATCATGCAATGCTGTGATTTGAGCAGAGCAAGCGGGCGCGAGGGTTTAGCTGTGCGATAGCCAAAAACTAATATTTTTCATTCGAGGAAAAGCCATATCAAGTGCACGGCGCATAGTGTTGGTGTTGTCGACCAGTGAGACGGAGTACTTGCGTGCATGTGCGGCTCGAGATAGCGCGCCCTCTTCCGAGCGCCCCGGAAGATGTCCTCCAGGGTGAAGGGGTCGTTCTCCAGGCATTCCTTCTGGATGAGCCCGAGAGCAAGCGGGACG